GGCTATTGAACAGCTGAATTTTGATATATGTGTATAATTGTGATATATTGTGATTGATTAGGGGTGTTAGGTCATTTTAGACTTGATTCAAAGATTTATGTGGTCTAATGAGAGAAAGGAATCGATATGAGTGCTTGGGTATGCAAAATTTTCAAAAAAAAGTGATTTTTTTGCACCCAAGTATCTAAATTTTGATTGAACTGTTAGATCATATCCAAACCTATCTCATTAGCTAGGTTATGAGATAAGCTTTGTATGGGCACTTGAATCACTTTGATCGAACTTTGTATGTGAAAATGGCACATGCCGGAAATTCATCATTTTGTTATCAAAATGACAGTAGAAATTTCAGACAAGCATGCCACGATGCATGGCATCACATACCATGGCATATGGCATAAAAAGTTAGGCATATTGTTTATGCCACATGCCGTAGTGCACGTATTGCACGCCACTGCTCACGGCCCATATTTCAACCTAATTTTCTTGGTTTTATTGCATGCAATTAAGGTAGGAATACTTATGGTTATGTCCACTGCACATTATACAGATGTTTGATTTGATTCCGCTATGTGTTACTCAAATGCATTATGGTTTTAATGATTTTACAAACTAAGTCTTTGGCCAAAGCTTTTCAAATAAATCCTTTGATTACTGTGGTAAATTATGATATGGTAATTTTATTAATCTTCACCTGTATTGAGTGAATATGAGGGAGGGTTATAATTTTGGTATCAATTTCTTGAGTTTCAAGACTTAATAGTGGTTTATGCATTCATGGGATGAAGAAATTTAGGATGTTACAATACAGAAGTCAGTAATGATTTTTAGAGGGAATTGAGAATGGCCAAGCTAAAAGATGAAAGCCTTTTGAGGATTGTAGAAGAGATTAAAGCAAATCAAGCTATTGATTTTAGTTTCAATGATAACAAGTTTATAGTCTATCGAGACAAGATCTATGTGCCTAATGATCTAGATCTAAGAAAAGTCATCTTAAATGAGGCTTATTGTAGTAAGTACATGATCCATCCGGGAGCTACAAGGATGTATCAGGATGTGAGGCAATATTGGTGGTGGCCTGGTATGAAGAAAGACGTTACTGAGTTTGTGACTCGATGTTTGACCTATCAAAAGGTTAAAATAGAGTACCAGAGACTAGCAGGGATGTTGCAACCATTTGATATTCCTAAATGGAAATAGGATAGTATATCCATTGATTTCATAACTAGGTTACTAAGAACTCAGTCATTACATGATGCCATTTAGGTTATAGTCGATAAACTCACAAAATTAGCTCATTTTCTAGCTATTCAAATTAGTGACTCTCTGAAAAAGTTAGCAGAGGTTTATATATAAGGAGTTGTAAGACTGCTTGGTGTGCTAAAGAGTATAGTATCTGATAGAGATCTAAGGTTTATGTCTAAGTTTTGGGGAGCTTTGTACATAGGTACTAAGTTGAAACTCAATACAACATATTTCCCACAAATAGATGGGCAGATAGAGTGGATCATATAGGCCCTAAAGGATATGTTGAGAGCCTATACATGGGAGTTGAAAGGTAGCTAAGATAGCCATCTTTCTTTGGTTAGGTTTTCTTATAACAATAGTTATCACTCTAGTATTCAAATGGCACCCTATAAGGCGTTGTATGGAAGAAAATGCAGATCGCCTCTTTGGTGGATAGATTGAGTAAAATGAGTATGTTGAGACCAAACATTGTGGATCAAACAACTCAGAAGATTGATTTGATAAGGAAAAAGTTATTGACGGCTTAGAGTAGGCAAAAAAGTTATGTAGATAGGTGTAAAAGGCCATTAGAGTTCTTGGTAAGAGATCATGTATTTTTAAGGGTTACACTAGTGACCAGAATCAGGAGGTCGATAAGAGCTAAGAAATTGACTCTTTGATTCATTAGTCCTTTTGAGATTCTAGAAAGAACTAGGCTAGTCACTTGTAGAATTGCTTTGTCACCACAGTTATTAAGTGTGCATGATGTGTTTCACATATCACAACTTAAGAAGTACCGACTTGATCCTTCACATGTACTAAAACCAGAGGAGATTGAGCTCTAAGAGAATCTAACATATAAGGCTGAGCCAGAGTGAATTGTAGATGTAAAAGAGAAGCAGTTGATGAACAAGACCATATGATTCGTTAAGGTTTTCTGGTGAGGCATGGCTCCTGGTAATGCTACCTGGGAGACAAAGAATACAATAAGGCAACAGTATCCTTACTTGTTTCCATAGGTACGTGTTTAAGTGTTTTATGAATTTTGGGGGGAAAATTCTTAAAAGGAGGGAAGAACTTTAACATCCTAAATTTCTTAATCTTGTGGTTAACTTTATTAATCGTGGGTAAAGTAGTAATTAGTGTGGGATTAGATTGGATGATTACTTGATAGATTGACTTATTGGTATGTTGCATGGCTGGACAGGGGGTGGAAGGAATATGTTTTGGATTGAAGCAAGTACACGTGGTGAGAATTAATCTCACTGTGCCATGCATTGTAGCTTGTATTGCATGTGCCGCGGCACAAAGACCAGAAATACACTAGTGCAGTATTTTTTGCCATAGTTAAAATGTATTTTTAGCGATAGAAGACGCTCTATGGTAGAAAATAGTGTGGTAGTAAATGTATATTTTTTGCGACAGATATAATGTAACTATAGCAAAAATGCTATTTTTCACCACAGATGAAGTTGAGACCTGTGGCGAAAGATAGCCTCTTTTGCCATAGGTGTATTTCAAACCTGTGGCGAAAGATATTATCTTTTGCCCCAGGTCCCAGAGATACCTATGGTGAAAGATGGTTTCTTTCACCACAGGTCCAACCTTCACCTGTGGCGAAAGATATCATCTTTCACCACAGGTCTCTTTGGGACTTGTGCCAAAAGATGGTTGAGCGGTGCATCTTTGGCGACGGTTGTATATCTTTCACCACAGGTCTCTCTTGGACCTGTGCTAAAAGATGGTTGAGCGGTGCATCTTTGGCGATAGTTGTGGTTACAACTGTCGTCATAAATTCATTTTTTACCACAATTACAACTATAACTGTGGCCGTAAATGCTATGTTTTTTTTATAGAATCACCTATAATTATATACATCCCTTACTTTTACAAAACCTATATTAATACATAAATAGCAACTCCAAAGGCCAATACAAATATATATAGTACAAACATTTTAACTAAAATCTCCATTTTCAATACACATATCTAAAATGTTTTTACTCTAACCATGTTAATTCTAAGAAAAAATGAGACTAAAGATTCCGTATATATCTCAACTCTCGCTTAGAATATGGCTCTAAATTTTAAAAGTACTGTAATTTCAATACCAATATATATAAATAATAACTCAAGTATATGACAAATTTCATAATATAAATCATTATTAGCAAATTATTACTTGATCAAATGAGTGAATAATACCTTGAGTGATGATTTCATACATGAAAATTATTACATAATAACCACACTCTACACTTCCTGGTTGTTGAAGACACTATAAAGATAATAAAAATAATGAAATTTATTAAATCAATATTATAATCTTCATTCTAATAAGAGAATAAATTTGAAATACTTACTTGCATTTGCACCCACTTAATTTCATTATTTTTTCTTGTCAACCATTCCCGCTGATTTCCAATATGTTGCCAATGATCTATTTACCATATATACACACTTAGAAAATATTAAATATATGTTATTAATAACACAAAATAGAATTATTTGAAGACTTACAATTCAACCAAAGACTTCATATCATCGCTTATTTCCCTTCATAGTGAACAAAATCAATATATAGTATTTTCATACAGGCAAATGACATGAAGCATCCAATGATGACTACAACATATTAATTTATATTAATATCACATCATTAAGCAAATTTTTATTAAATTGAGGGATGAATTTAAAATTTAATACCTTTCAATAATTGGTAAAAACCAGTACCTCTTCTTTTGCCTACACAGCGTCTTTTCAATATAAGAAGCTCTTTAATTCACTTTATCGATTGTAGTTAAAAGTGGAGACAAGAACCCATAATTATAATCGACACCGAGTTCGGTGCATATCTTATAGGGGTACCTTTATAATAAAAAATATGTTAGCAAGAAAATAAAAATATTAAATATTAATCTAGAAATAAAAATGAACACTTACATAATAAACACTTGAATTATTGCTAAGTCCAACCAGTCAAAAATAATGAGATCATTAATGTCTTTTCTAGCGACTCTGAAAGTAATAGGCTTCCCAACAATCATTTCGCTTACTTTTAATTCATCAAAAAATTCATTCATATCAACCACCACCGAAGCCAACTATTTCAAATAATCTTGCACCAGTTGGGGATTAGCACCTAGAGATTCTTTTAACTGTAGGAGTTCTTATAATTAATGTATAATAAAAATTAGAAATACCTATAATGTTAATTAAGAAATATATAAATTATAACTTTTTATACCTTATCGGTAACTTGTCGGGCAAGCCTTTTCAACTAAATAATAAAATTATGCTCAGCTTGTCCTACTGTTTGCACCTCCTCAGTAGGGAATAACACAGGAGCATTGGCATCAACAACCGCGACCTTTACTTGGTTATGTTATATTGGTTGGTGGTGCACTGTAGTTACATGGCTATATACCTTTCCATATGCAACTACTCGTTTGCCATGATCCTCCACATAAAGTATGCATGGCATTCCTTGCTCTGATAGGTCAGGATCATACCCTGGATCTGGAACATGACCATAGTTTGGTGCTTGTTGTGATTGCATCTGAAGATTGCTAATTATTGATTGCATTTCCATCATCATGCTTGATTTACATTCTGCTATCATCATTTGTACTTGTTGCATTAGTACAACATTAGGACGTGGTGGTGGTCCAAATATTATCTTATGCCCACACCTTTTGGAACCCCCCTAACACGACCAGAGTGCTCTTCACTCCCTAATGCTGTGGCCAATATATCATTCCTACCAGTAGAGACAAAAGTCCCCTGAGAGGATGCTCCTGTAAGAGCATCTTGGAACATGTAATCAACCAATGCAATTAGTAGACTTAAATCATATAATTGAGATGTTGACTATAAAAATACTTACAATTTTTTCAACTACTTCTCTAGCTTTCGGGGAAATATACTCTCCTTTTTTAGTCATCCGTCCTCTTTTCATGATTGTGCACGATTAATAAGAGATGGAGGAGAAACATCTTTAACATTATCAACTCTCGCCGCTTGTCTTTTTTCTTTCCACTTCTCTTGAGTCATTATGTCATAAACATATGCATACCCTCCTCGAGACATAGTATGGTTATATAGATTTTTCTTCCGACGCTTTTGACCCCTTTGACTTTTTTCCTATTAACAAACAATGAAAAACATTTGTTAAAATAAAATTTTAATAATACTAGTTTAATATAATATTTTTCCTTTGCTTACCAAAAATTTAGGATCGTGTCTACTGTGAACAAATCTCTTCCATGTGTCATAATCAATGAATAGATACTTCTCCCAAGGTTTTTCCATGCCGATATCATTGTCACTATCATTGTTTTCATTGTCATTCTTGGGAAACGCATATTTTCTTGTGAGTTTGGACTTGAAGTCCATCTATTGATCCCCGGCATATTTTAGCCATTTTTCCTTTAAAAATGGAGTTTCCTTTATGTCATATGTAATCTGCAAAAACACGCCAATGATAAATTTAGTGACAACATATATTTCAAAATAAAAAGTAAATATGATATAAAGCAATTAGAAATATCAGTATTGTTTCCCAAACTTCATCTCTATCACTTTCTTTTACATCATTCCACTCTTCCTCCAAGATGCTAATCTTTTGACGAGCCATAAGACCCACAAAAGTCTTAAAAATATTTCCTTTTTTCTTATCAATTAGTTGGCCCTTTTCATCAAAGTCAAGATGAATCTTTCTATGTGCTTGGGCTAGCTTAGTTAGTCGTGTGGCCCCTCTTTTACCTCTCTTAGTCTTTGCTTTTTAAGTGCCACTGCTACAAGGATTTTCCATATTTCTCCTAAAATAAATAAGATAAATAATATTAGTAGCAAAAAATATAATAAATTTAAACTTATATAAATAATGAAAGCATAAAAAAATAAAAGAGATAAAAGAAATTCACTAATATTATGTTACCATTATAAATATATTTTAATTCTCCCAATCATGATCAGTTCTAATGTCATAGACGTCATCATCATCTTCCACATCCAACAAGGGTTGGGTTGGCATAAAAGGAGGAATCTCTTCAATTCCAAAACTTGTTTCATCATTTTCATTATGAGAGAGGAGACTTTTTCCCAATAGTACGATGGACAACCTTTTATCAGCTGGATCGGTAACATAAAAAACTTGTTTTGCATGAGTTTCCATGATAAAAGGCTTATCCTTATGTTTTGCCTTATGAAGATCCACTAAAGTAAAAACTAATTTATTTTATTGAACACCATCCTTAATATCAACCCACATGCACTTGAAAATGGGCACCTTAAATTTAAAGTAATCAACTTCCCATATCTCTTCAATGACTCCAAAATATGATGAAGATGCCATAGTTGGATTTTTATCTTTAGCACTGGAAAAATGAGTTGCCTCAGCTTCTACCATTACCCCACTATTTTGCGTAGTGATATTATCATCTTGTATTTTTGCATAGAATTAATACCCATTAATGTCATATGCACTCTAAGTTATAACATCAAAGTTAGGCCCATTAGCTAACCACCTTATTGTATCAGAAACATTGGCCTTCCGACGATCCTCCTTTACCCTTGCCTTAAACCAGAGTGAAAAATGTTTATTATGCTCACTTAACAACTATTTATCGGGCTTTTTAGGGTACCGATCCCTTAATTCATTTTTGTGCGCATCAAAGTAATTCTGAACATCATCAGTGTTATTTAGAATGTATAGATGTGCTTGTTTCATTTCTTCATGTGTCATGCACTTTATTTTCATCCCTCGTGTCCCTTGCCCATGAACTCTCATCCCCTCATGGGGAGACTCAAGAACTTCGATAGACTTTACTTCGGTTAGGTATTCGGTACAAAACTCGACAACCTCCTCAGTAACATATCTTTCAACAATAGAAGCTTTTGGACGATGGGGATTCTTCATATACCCTTTAAGAATTTTCATGTACCACTCAAATGGATACATCCAACGTAGATAAACAGGGCCACACAACTTTTTCTCTCTTATAAATGTACAATTAAGTGTACCATGATGTTTGAAAATGAGGGAATAAAATACATTTCAAGTTGACATAAGGTAATGACAACTTCGTTTTGCAATTTGTCTAATTTTCTAGGATCAATGACTTTGCCACAAACTGCATTGAAGAAGACACATAATTTGATAACTGACTTTCTCACCTTTTTGTCCAATGTGTCTCTAATTGTTACTGGTAACAATTGTTGCATTAGTACATGGAAATCATGAGACTTCAAACTAACTAATTTTAAATCTTTTATTGATACAAGGTTCTTGATATTTGAATAATATCTTTATGGAACCTTAATACCATGTAAACACACGCAAAAACTTTTTGTCTCTCTCTTAGACAAAGTATGAGGGGTAGGGCTCATGTAAGTCCTCTGTCCTTCTACTCTTAGACCTAAGTTTGTTTGTATTCCTATGTCGAGTAAGTCTAGCCTTGCTTTAAGTCCATCCTTAGTCTTTAACTTTATGTCTAACAGTGTTTCAATTAGACTATCACACATATTTTTTTCCATATGCATCATATCAAGATTATGTCTCACTTCAAGGGTGCTCCAATATGGGAGATTGAAAAAGATAAACCTCTTCTTCCACTGATTCTTTTGAGCTTCTTTTGTCTAACTCTTACCAAATACCACATTAATGTCTCTCACCCGCTCATATGCCAAGTTTGCAGTTAATGGCTCTAGAGCTTCATCATACTCTTGATAACTCTTACCAAATACTATGTGTATGTTTTATAGAACCCAAAACAAATTAGGTGATCTTTAATCTCAACAGGACTTCATCACAACCTATTCAAACATTTAACACAAGGGCAATAGAACAATCCTTTATCATTAGGAGCATTATTCTTTGCAAATTCCAAAAATTGATCTACCCCTCTCTCATATTCATCACTTGTCCATAAAGAATCTATCTAACTATGGTTCATCATTACCTAATTAAAATATAAACAAATAATTTATGATTTGAAATTTTAAAAAATTTGGTAGCATAACGACTTATAAATTAAGATTCCCCGAGCACTAAACCCTCCAATTAAGCCTATTAATTTCCAATAAATCACCAATTTCAACTAATTAAATGCAATGCATGATATTATCTACTAATCAAGTATAATTAACCACACAATTAAAAAATAAAAATAATGTATCACCCAAATAATTTACATTTTGTAATCTAAAAAAAAATTGCTTGCACAACAACTCAATAAATAGAGATTCTCCAAGTTTAAAACAAAATTTAAACTAATTAAACTCAAGGCATGATGGATTATAATTAAATTTAACAAAATTACAATTAAAAAATATGCATAATTATAATTAGAAAAATAAAAATCAAGTTTCAAAATCAAAAATAAAAAATTCCAGGCAAAAGGATGAAAATTAAGTTAAAAAAATGACATAAATTTCAAAAAAAAATTACAAAAAAAATAATTGCAAAAAAGGATGAAAATTAAGCTAAAAAATGACATAAATTGAAAAAAAATTAATAATAAATTGCAAAAAAAATAAACTAGAAAAAAGGATGACAATTAAGCTAAAAAATGTCATAAATTGCAAAAAAAAAAATAGTAAGCTGTAAAAAAAAAGGAGGGGAAAACCTTTAGCTGGCACTGAATGAGATAGTAGGCGGAGGAGATAGTAGGCGGCGGCGGAGTTGTGGGCACCGAGATGAGCTGGAGCTAGAGCTATGGGTAGATGAGCTGATAGCAGACGAGGGAGCTGGGGGAAAAGGAGGCGAGCTACGGCGAACAAGGGAGTTGGGGGAATGGGGGCTGGAGCTGCGGCGGTTGAGGGAGCTATGGGAATGGAAGCTGCAGTGGATGTTTTAAGAGCTGAGGGCGAGTAAGGAAGCTGAGGACAAATAAGGAGCTGAGGGTTAAGCAGCAAACATGAGTTGACAAATTTATTAAACACATATGGCGACAAGCATCATTAACGCCCATCGCTGTATGTAATGATGGACTTATGACGACAGGCATTTATCATGCCTGTCACCGTAGGTTTCTGATTTCAGGCATATTAATCATGCCTGAAATCAGACATATTTAATATATATATATATATATATATAATGAATAAATAATTATAAAAATTAAAATAATCCTAATTTTGTTAATAGTTTAAATTTAATATGTCTAAATTCAGACACATTTAATGTGTCTGGCTTCAAGCATATTAAAAATTTAAATAACTAAAAAATTTATGTAATATTTTTAATTATTAATTAATTATTATTTTTTATGAAATTGAGGCATATTTAATGCCTGAATCAGACATATGGCGACATGCATTTATCACGCCTGTCATCGTAAGTTTTCTTAATTTTAAGCATAATTAATATGCCTGAAATTAGACATACTTATGGCGACAGGTCTTCTTAACACCTGTCGCCGTAGGTTTCTGATTTCAGGCATATTAATTATGTCTGAAATTAGACATGTTTAATATATATATATAATATGAATAAATATTTATAAAAAATAAAATAATCCTAATTTTATTAATATTTTAAATTTAATATGTCTGAATTCAGACACGTTTAATATATCTGGATTCAGACATATTAAAAATTTAAATAATTAAAAAAATTTATGTAAAATTTTTAATTATTAATTCATTATTATTTTTACGAAATTGAGGCATATTTAATACTTGAATCAGATATACGGCGATAGGCATTTATCAAGCCCGTCACCGTAAGTTTGCCTAATTTTAGGCATATTAAATATGCATACTTATGGTGACAAGCATTAAGAAGGCCTGTTGCCGTAGGTTTTTGATTTCAGGCATATTTATTATGTCTGAATTCTAAATTGAGACACGTTAAATATATATATGTATATTTCTTATTAATTTAAATTTAAATATATATATAGATATTTCTTAATAATTTAAATTTAAAATTTGAATTAATGATTTACTTTAATTGCGTTATTTGTTTAATGGCTTGTCAAATCATTTACGGCGACAGGTGGATTGTATGTCTGTGGCCATAAATCTTATATTTTTTACCTTATTTACATTTTTGCCACTTTACCTTATTTTACCACAGTTTTCCTATAAACTGTGGTGAAAAATATGTAGTTAAAATTATATTTTGTACTAGCGATAACTTCTTAAGTCGTGAAATTTCATAAATTTTAGAGGAGAAAGGTTGAGAACACATGAAAGGGAGTAGAGAAGAAGGGTTGAGGTGCTAGGGCAAGCCATTTCAGGTCATTAGAAGGTGCTTTTGATCGATAACTTAGTAGGTAAGCTATGTATAACTCTTATCTTCTATTCTACACAAATTTCTCCAAAATTGAGTTATAGAGAAATTGAATTGGTAAATTTTTAGGGGTTTGATTATTGCCTAATAGTAATAAAAAGGTTCTTGGAAGTTAAATTAGAGCTTTATGATTGGTTTAGAGTTGAACGATA